TGGACACTGAAATTCACACCGGTATTCTAAAGAAATTAAATTTTAAGTAAATATGATGCGCGAGAAGGATGGGAAGTCGAATTAAGTTCAGTGGATACGGTGGTGCTATTTGAAGATAGATCCGGCATTCTATTTATGAAAAACTCCCTGGGGTGCTGACGCGGGAATGTGCGTGCATGTAGTATTTTTTCTATTTCCTTGTCTGTTTTTTATAGCTACAAGAGAAGCAACAACTGGCGCTGCACCGCAAAATCTCAGCTATCAGCAACCGCCTCAGCAACAGCTCCAGCAGCAACAGTTCGCACCTTTTGGTAACTGTTGAAATCATTTCCACTGCTGAGGGGGTTTTTTTTGCTCACGATTTCTTTTTTTTTTACCGTAAGAAAAAATTTTTTGTTCATTTGTAAGTTCCTGTTTTCTTCACTTTTGTTGAATTTTATTTTTTCATTGTTATTAGCGCAGTATGCTTTTTGTGTTATTACCATCATTGTTATATTATTATAACACTCTTAGAATATTATAATTATCATTATCACAAAAAGGCAACTTCTTAATGCATGCAGGAAAACTGCCCAGGCCGTTCACTCCGCAAACTCATCACCACTTCGGCCTTTTTTGGTACTTAGATCCTGTGTAGCAGAGTAACGAATATCGGCCAGTCAGGATCCCTTTGACAACCGCGCTTTGACAGTTTGCGGCTTTTTAGTTCCACAAGAAAAAAGTAAATAGCAACGCACACCGGACTAGCCGGTGCTGTCATGCGTTTTATGCAATTCAGCCCGTCGAACGATTGCCTATTAATGATTTTCACTGCTTTGTACTTTGGTCTATGCAAAAATAGTTCAAACATTGGGAAACAGTCAAAAATTTCACGTACCAACGCATGAAAGCTGAATTCGAAACCTTGAAGGGTGAATATCTTTCCTTGATTCTCGGGTTTTTGGCTTACCCGCCAAAACTTTTACGAGGCCATAGTTGATACTCAGGAGCGCGGCAACGCTAAGTTTGAATGGGCAAGGTTGAGCATGGGCAGTGGGTCATTACCCTAAAATTTCAGTCTCCTAGACTCCGTGGTTCCCGAGATATTAATTTACCCGTAAAAAACTTTCGCGGGGCCAAACGCGTTACCCGCTGGTAGGGGAAGCTGAATTTAAACTTGCGGGGTTACACGTGAGTGGGGAGCGTTTCCCTAAATGTTCAGCTTCCTAGCTTTTGTGGTTCCCGAGTTGAAAGTTGCGGACAAGTTGCTGCGGACACACA